CCTGGTTTTGGTATCAAGATTATGCTTGCTTCATAAAATGAGTTAGGGAGGATTCCATCCTTTTCTATGTTTTGGAATAGTTTGAGTAGGATTGGTATCAATTCTTCTCTGAATGTTTTGTAGAATTCTCCAGTGTTATCTGTATCTTTGTTTTGCCTTTTGTCATCATGTTTCCCTAGTACAGCAGAACAGTCCCTTGGGTGAGAAACTCTTTTAAATGTGATAATAATATAGTAGCCATTCCAACTGGATTAAGCCATTCCAAGTTGATTGTTTTCCTAATGTCAAACCATCCTTGCGTACCTAGTATGAATCCCACTTGGTTGTGATGTTTTATTTTTTGACAAGGTATTTAATTCTGTTGGCTAGGATTTTGTTAAAGACTTCACTAAATATTCAAGAGGGATATTTATCCAGCATAAGAAATAAAGCATTATAACAAGAACTATATACGGTATCTCTGTGTTGTTATGTGCCATGGAGTCGGACCTGACTCATAGCAAATCCTCCTTGAGTTTCCAAGGTGGTATCACTACAGAAGTAGTTTGCCCAGCCTTCTTTCTGAGGAGTGGCTGGTGAGTTTGAACCACCAGCCTTCTGGTAAGCAGTCAGGTCCCTTAGGCACTATGCTACCAGAGCTCCCAGGTATCTCTTTAGGCTTCCTCTATTCTATTCTCCTTCCTCCTTCTTCAGATGTAACAACTTATTTTATTTTGGTATTTTACAGTTTTCTTGGAATTCTTCTTTAATACCTTAACTCACTCTTATTTTACTTCAAGGCTGTTGAAATAATGGACCGGACTGAAATGCCATGCCAGGCATTAGTGAGGATGCTGGCCAAGAAACCTGGATGGAAGGAAACTAATTTTCAGGTATTTTTAAATTGGAGGTTTCATGTCTTTTAAGATTTAAATAATTTCTGTTACATCGTCCTGTGACATATTAGGTGTAGTTTTTCTTGATGATATTTAGCATACCCTTTTTTTTTAAATCATTCAGCCAATGTGTCATCTTCAAAAATGAACTGAGAACTTGATGCATTTTTGTTACATATATAACTATAGCTTTGTGTAATTCCAAAACTAAACTTACAGTCATCGAGTTGGATCTGACTTATTACTACCTCTTCTTGGGTTTCTGAGGCAGTATCACTACAGAAGTAGATTGTCCAGTCTTCCTTCTGAGGAGTGGCTGATGGGTTTGAACTGCCAGCCTTCTGGTTAGCAGACAAATGCCTTGGGCACTATGCCACCAGAGCTCCCCAAAGTAGCAATACTAAGTTACTAATCTAAAAACTAGCTATAGCAGGAGGTATAGAAAAGTGATAACAGAAGGTGAAAAAAAAGTTTTCTCTTTTTCTGGGAGCTCTGGTGGTGTAGTGCCTAAGCCACTTGACTGCTAACCATAAGGCTGGCGGTTCAAACCTACTAGCCACTCCTCAGAAGGAAGGTTGGGCAGTCAACTTTCGTAGTTACACCACCTTGGAAACCCAGGGAGGGATCGCTATGAGTTGGATCCACCTCGACGGCAGTGCGTTTGGTTTGGTTTTGGGTTCTCCTTTTCAATATATACATAGATCTCGTAAAAAGGTGTCAAATTTTGTCAGATACATTTTATGGATCTATTAAGATGATCAAAGAGCTCTGGTGGTACAGTGGGTAAGGCATTTGGCTGCTAATAGAAGGGCAGCAGTTCAAATCCACCAGCTGCTCCGCAGGAGGATGAGGAGGCAATCTACTTCTGTAAAGATTTACAGTGTTGGAAACCCAGTGGGGGTTGCTATGAGGTGGAATCAACTCGATGTCAATGGGTGGATTTGGGGGTTGAGATGATCAAGTGTTTTTGTTTTTGTTTTTGTTTTCCTTTATTCCATTTATATGATGTATCATGTTGATGCTTTTCATGTGTAGAGCTATTGAATGGTTTGGGCTGTCTCTTATCACTGTCACTTAGCTAATTTAATTGATAACAGGTAAAGGATAAAAATTATCTTTGCTTCTTTGTTTAAAATTCTAATTTTAGTTTGCTTAAGTTCTCTCAGCTGTCTCTAACTATGTTACATATTCAGATTGCTATAAAATAAAACCCCTGAAGCTGTTGTCTTGAGATAATCTTCAAACTTTAAATAAAAAGTAACCCCTGAAGTCTTCTTAAAACCAAGTAATAGTTTAGCTTAACTTATTAAAAAAAAAGGGTTAGATGGCACCACTGACACAATGGCCCCTAGCTGCCCTTCAGGTGTGGAACCGAACCCACTCCTCTGTCTTCCAGCCAAACAAAAGACAGGCATAAGAGCTGAACGTTTACATTAGTTAGACACACTCAGTCTGGGAGAATAAAAGGACTATGTATGCACAGGGAGATAGCTGGGGGCGGGCAGGAATGATTGGGAGGGAAGGACACAGGGAAGAGGTAACTATGGGGAGGAAGGAGGAAAGAAGCGGTTGCATTGTGGGAAATTACGGTCAATGCCATGAGACAAAGTGTATGTGAGCTGCTGTATGGAAAGTGAATTTGCTCTGTAAACTTTCACCCAAATCACAATAAAAATTTTAAAAAAAGAAAAACTCTCTATGTGGGATCCAATTGACAGCACCAGCTCCAAGGAGATAGAACTTTAGAAGGCATTAATGTTAATGAGGGCTTTGAAAAGGAGGGTGAGAATGGTTGCACAACTCATAGAATGTAATCAGTGTCTCTAAATTATACGTGGAGAAACTGTTGTTCTGATGTTTTTTTTAAGAAAAGCAAAATAGATGTCTTTGGTTTTAATCATAACTTTAGGATACTTTTCCTTGTTAGGTGATGCAGATGAAGCTTCACATAGTTGCTCTGATTGCCCAGAAGGGAAACTTTTCTAAAACATCAGCTCAGGTTGTATTAGATGGCCTTGTGGATAAGATTGGAGATGTGAAATGCGGGAACAATGCAAAAGAAGCTATGACAGCAATTGCCGAAGCTTGTATGTTGCCATGGACAGCTGAACAGGTCAGTAATACAGAGGTTTCTTTTCCTAAGTTTCTCCCAAAATGTAATTTCACACTTACAGATTAAACTCTGGTTCTTATCTTCTCAAGTAAAACCCTTTTGATAGTGCATTTTTATTTTGACCGTTAGTAACAGACTATTCCCTGATAATTAAAATTTATCTTAATCAAGAATATTTCATAAAAAATGAGAATAATTTTCCTTTACAACAGTACAGTAGCATAGTGATTACTAATGAAAAGATATAAACAGTCCAGAATGATTTCAATGATATTGGCACTTACCTCAAGGAGCTCTGGTAGCATAGTGCCTAAGGTATTTGACTGCTGACCAGAAGGTTGGTGGTACTAAACCCACTAGCTGCTCCACAGAAGAAAGATGGGGTAATCTGCTTCATAAAGATTTGCTGCCTTGGAAACCCACTGGAGGTCACTGTGAGTCGCAATCAACTCGATGGTAGTGGGTCAGTGGATTTGGGCAATTAACTAATTTTCTTGTAAAAATTAAATGTTTCATGCCGAAGGCATTATCAGCAGTTGTTTTAACATCAGAAAAACTATATTCAGCCCCACATCTGCCATATTGCCGTGCTATATTTCTATGAGAGATTTAAAAGAAAATACACATCTGTTGTTTGTTACTATTTTTCCCTGTTCCAGGTTATGTCAATGGCTTTCTCACAGAAGAATCCTAAGAATCAGTCAGAAACTCTGAATTGGCTATCAAATGCAATAAAAGAATTTGGATTTTCTGGGTGAGTCACAGAGAAATAAAATGGAAGATAATTACATATTTTGCCTGTCTCTGATTGGTAATTATAATATTTATCATAGCTATCTTGTTTCTGAGAAAGTACATTGGCTTTTTCTGTGCCATGCTGCTTTTTTTACAACACTCTTCTTAATATCCTTCAAAACATTATTCTGAGTTCTACCAATTGAAGCAATTACAAGTAATGTGAAGAATTATTTGTTGTATCAGTGTCTGTGGTGTCCTCCCATATTTGAGACTGTTATTATAACCCCTTTTTGATAGTACAGTCTGTGATATAAAACTGATCTCTTAGCATAACATAAGAACCAGGTGAATTTTTTTTTAACTTGTCAATGATGTCTCATTTAATCATTCAACAACTATTATAATCTTAGAATATTCCAGTAAAGGAAGACAGACAATAAACAGTAAAATTATATCTACGTATAACAACAGAGTAAAAATAAAGTAGGATAAGGGGTTTAGCAATGTCATCTTGGAGTGGTTAGTATGGTTTTATTTTCTATGGAGTAGTCAGCAAGTCCTGAAAATATGGATTTGAGCAGAGCACTGAAAGAAATGAAGGAACAAATTATGAAAAGCTGAACATTCTAGATCATAGGAATGGTAAGTACAAAAGCCCTAAAGTAGGAGCATGCATGATGTTTAAAAAAGTAAGAGAGACCATCATGGTTGGAATGGAATGAGTGAAGGGGTGGGAGTGATAGAAGATAAAATAAGAGAAAGAACAGGAGGTAGCTCACGTGGGACCTCAAACTTTTGAATAAGTTGGGAAGGTTTTGAGCAGAAGAGGATCATTCTGACTGTATTCAGAACAAACAGAAGCAGGGAGGAATAATCCCATCAAGAGGTTATAGTGGCTTGGGCATAGATTGTAGAGGTAGAAGTTTTAGGATTCATTTTATTTCATGACATTGATTGCAATTCCCACAGTGCAACAGCTCTCTTCTTACTTCCTCCCTATGTCCTTCTTTCCTATGCATTCATGTCTTCTGAGTTATCTCCCTGTGCAAATCCTGCCCTTCTGATCGCCCATGGTTGATCATTTTAATGAGTGCACCTACCTAGTGTAAATGTTTGCTTTATACTCCTGTCTGTTGTTTGGCTGGAATCCACAGGAGTGAATTCAATTCCAGAGGGTGACTAGGGCCCATAGTCTCAGGGGTTACACCGGTCTCTCTCAGACCTATAAGCCTAGACCCAGATATATTTTGAAAGTAGAGCTGAATAGGAGAAGAGTCAAGAATGACATGATGTGACTCTTTACTGAGGTGTGAAACATGGGGGAAGAATAGTTTGGAGAGTAGACAATCGGGAGTTTGGGTTTGACATGTTAGGAGTAAGATATCTGCCAAATGTGCCTATGGTGAGATCATTAAAGCAGTTGAGTATTTGAATCTGAAGTTCTAGAAGGATTTCCAGACTGGATTCAGGAGTAATCAGCTTCTAGATGGCATTGACTCAGTTAAAGATGAGTGCAAACAGAATAAGTGAGAACCAGGGGCATATCTATAGGTAGCCAATCCCATATAAAATTCTTGAGTATTTTCACAGTTTCATTTGTTCTTAATTCTAAATGATGTTTCTTCTAGGTTGAATGTCAAAGCTTTCATTAGCAATGTGAAGACAGCTCTTGCTGCAACAAACCCAGTGAGTACATACCAGCATATATAGCAGCCTTATAGCCACCTTTGTAGGTTTGTTCTGAATTGGAAAGTTCTTTGTGTTGTGTCTGGCAGGCTGTGAGGACTTCTGCCATCACCCTGCTTGGTGTGATGTATCTGTATGTTGGTCCTTCTTTGCGAATGTTCTTTGAGGATGAGAAGCCTGCCCTCCTGTCCCAGATAGATGCAGAATTCGAGAAGGTAAAGAGTCTTCAAGTGATATAAACCATTGGTGGGCTGGAGCATAGTTGTATTAGCTGGTTAGATGTAAACTTTTCATCCTTTCTAATAAGAATGTATGTGCATTTGCCTGTATGTGCATAAAATACCTCCTGAAGGATTTATAAGAAATTAGTGTCTTTGTCTATGAAGAAGAGAGCTAGTTAGCTATGCTATAAGGTGAGAGATTTTCCTTTTTCTCTCCTTTTATACATTTATAATTTCAAACATGAATGTTTTAACTATTCCAAAAGTACATTAAAAAAAGCACTTTAAAATAAAAAGAGAAACTTGACCCTCCTTAAATAAACTTTCTAACTGAAATTAAGTGACTAGCAGACTTGATCTATATCATCTCGAGCATACAAGCCAACAGACAACTTCATGATTGAGAAGTCAGATTCTAATAAGTTTATATAAAAATACCTTTTACCATAATAGACTCTCAAAATTATAATCTAGGTAGGAATTAAAATGTCTACTATATAAATATTAAGTATTATGAATAAATGTGGACATTTGACAAAGGTACCATTTTCTGATTTGTTAGTACTGTCACTTTCATCAAGTTCATTGCCTCACTCAGTTGTTTGTGTGTAGATGCAGGGACAAAGCCCACCTGCTCCTACTAGAGGGATTTCCAAGCACAGCGCAAGTGCTACTGATGAAGGAGAAGATGGAGAGGAACCAGATGAAGGGAGCAATGATGTTATTGATTTTTTGCCAAGGGCAGAGATCAGGTAGGTTTTAATCTGTGGAATGGTTTATTTGATGCATTGTACTGAATTCTTAGGTGTCTTCTTTGAATTCAGTCAAGGGTACTTCTGTGACATTATTCTTTTAGGAGTCTGGAATTAAAGGTTGTCTTCCATTTTTCAGTGATAAAATCACTTCAGAGTTGGTATCTAAGATTGGTGACAAGAACTGGAAGATCAGGAAAGAAGGTTTAGATGAAGTAGCAAGCATTATCAATGAAGCAAAATTTATCCAGCCAAATATAGGTGAACTTCCAACTGCCTTGAAGGGTCGACTCAATGATTCAAATAAAATCCTGGTACGTAGAACATATGCCTGTCCCGTCCCCTTCCCCCCACCACGTTCTTTTTCAATGCAAAAAAAATTTGCTTTTAACTGCAGATAGCTTCTTTTAATATCTTAAGTGTACTTAGAACAATCAATCATTCAAGATCAAAAGGACAGCATTTGTCCAAGGACAAAGTTCAGAAGGCAGAAGGGGTTAGGAGAGGAGAATGGAAGCCAGAAACACAGGGAGGAAGTGGGAGAAGTGATGTTACATTATGGGGATTGCAGTCAATGACAGGAAACAAAATGTATGTGAATTGTTGAATGGAAAACTAATTTGTATGCTTTCACCCAAATTATAAGAAAAAGTTAAAAAAAAAATTTCTTAAATGTACCTCTAGATATGTTTGTGGAAAGCAGGCTTATTAATCAAATTTTAATGTATTTCCGAATCTCTTTTTTTATAGGAACCCAACCCACTGCCATCAAATTGATTTCAACTCATAGCTACCCTATAGGACAGAATAGAACTGCCCCATAGGATTTCCGTGTCTGCCACATCTTTCTCCCACAGAGTAGTGGATTTGAACTGCTGACCTTTCAGTTAGTGGCTGAGCATTTTAACCACTGTGTCACCAGTGCTCCTGTTTAATAGAAATCCATTATTAAGTATCTTTATATGAAAATTCTTATAATACACATGTTGTTGTTAGGTGCTGTCAAGTTAATTCTGACTCATAGCGACCTATGTATATGTAAACATGCTTAATTTGTAATTTTTACATTTAGATTGTTGAGTCAGGGTTTTCTTATACCAGGGTTTACCTTACCTTGAAATTGTAAAACGTATAATCATCATTCTGAAATTTCTAGTAATACAGTTTATGATCTGATAAAAAGAGAGGCCTAAAATTTATTTCTAAAAAAGAATGCATTATAATGATATGATTTCCTTCTCTCTTAAGACAGCCAGAAACCTCTTACTGTATTGATATAAAGCAGCAAATTTGCAAAACTTTGTACACAGTTCAGTCATGGTGTAAACATAAAGTGTTGGCCTTCTCTACTCAGGTGCAGCAGACACTGACTATCCTCCAGCAGTTGGCAGTAGCCATGGGCCCAAACATCAAGCAGCATGTGAAGAGCTTGGGCATCCCAATCATCACAGTCCTTGGTGACAGCAAGGTAAACCTTACTTTCTCACCACAGCTCCATTCTGGAATAGGCCAGCCACATTCTTGGGCTGAGAATAATTATCTTCTTTATCTGTGAAATTTAATTCTTATAGAATTAAATAAGGGTCTAGATGTAAAGTGTACTGTACCGTGCCTTCTCACATAGTATGCCCTCAACAAATTGTCGTTATTGTTTTTATTTTTACAATCTAATCATTATAAAAAATATTGTGTAAAGAGTCTAAATAAATGCATGAATTCAGGAGTCATGAGCTTATTTTCTACTTTTTTCCCTAAACAACTAGCATGAGATCTTCTAGTAGCTCAGTAAGCTCTTTGTGATTTTACAGTTCTGGAGTTAGTGTCATTGAAGATTGCAAGTATCAGATTAAATATTTAATCTAATATTAGTTTGGAGGGTCAGTGAAAAAGGGGAACACCCTCAACTAGATGGATTGACACAGTAGCCATGACGATGGGCCCAAGCATAGCAAAGATTGTGAGGACGGTGCAGCTCTGGGCAGTATTTTGTTCTGTTGCTCGTAGGGTTGCTTTGAGTTGGAGCCAACTCAGTAGCACCTAATAACAGCAACATCAGTTCTATATTAAATATTTGAATGTCTGCATTATTGTAATTCATTTAATATGAGGAAATGGTCTATTTTAATATGTTTGTCTCAATCCTTCTGATTTAATTGGCAAATTAATATGAAAACATAAATGTTCAGTAAAATTATTAGTAGTTTCAGTCTTTCTGACATGTAGAAATATAATCTTTAGCAGATATTCATTGATACATGAACCTCCGGAGAGTTAGGAAAGAAAGTCTTAAGTTTATTCCTTTCACATCATTTTTTATGCCTAGGTCACTGTTTTACCTACTTAAAAGAGTCCAAAATCTTTACATTCGAGTTTTATGTTTCTTGCTCACATTGAAGTTTTAGTCAACATAGAATTTGATTGTATCTCTAGGGATAACAAGTTTTTCACTCCTGCTTCCAAACCATGCTTGATATTTTGCTAACTCACTTCTCCCTTAAGAACAATGTTCGAGCTGCTGCCCTCGTGACAGTGAATACTTGGGCTGAACAGACTGGCATGAAGGAATGGCTGGAGGGAGAAGATCTTTCTGAAGAGCTCAAAAAGGAAAATCCTTTCTTGAGACAAGAGGTTAGTACTATAAATAAATATGTGCTTTACTCATGTCTTTTACCTTTATAGGGGCCTAAGCTTGCCCAGCCACTCCTCGGAAGGAAGGTTGGGCAATCGTACTTCCATAGTGATACTGCCTTGGAAACCCAAGGAGGGGTCGCTATGAGTCAGGGCTGACTCGACGGCACATAACAACAACAACAACAACAAAGCTTGCCCTAAAGTATGATTAGAAGAGTTTCATAATAAAATAAAACCAAACTCCTTGAGCTTTTGTGTTTGTGGGCTTTTTTTTTTTTTCATGAGTTTCTTTAACATACTTTGTTGTTTGTTTGTTTGTTTTTTTTAATTTTATTTTGATTTGGGTGAAGATTTACAGAGTAAATTCACTTTTCATACAGCAGTTCACATATACTTTGTCTCATGTCATTGACCAAAATTTACAAT